CCCCGTCTCCTAGAGAGTCGGCGCCATCGGTCTTGGCTAATAGGCTCTCATAGTGCCCTAATAGCGCCCTAATAGTCGCTATTAGCCCATCTCATAGTGGTGTTCTAATAGCTCCAGACGTTATGAAGCTCAGCTATTAGCCCCTCTGAGCTAATAGTAGCACTATTTGAAATCGCTATTAGCCTTTTCCTCATTATGAGGCTAATAGTTTGACCAGTGCGGCCTTAGCGCCGGTCATGCCTAAAGCGTGCTTACACCAAGTAGAAGTAGACGCAGCCGCGAGTCGCAGCCGGGTCCCCGAAGGAAGCCCCCCAGATCCCAAAATAATGGTCCCTTGGTCGACTACACCCGCCGTCCGGGAGGAGGGTGCACATGAGCGACGAGAGTATACACGGGACGGATCGGGCGGTAGAAGGAGTAGCCGGTGAGCCCTGTGTACTGTGCAGGCCGTGCGTGTTTTTGTGTGCCGCTAGCAATGGCGCTCGACCGAGACTGCGGTGCCGTGGTCCATCCCCCAGCAAGACCGAACCCGAGTCGCTTCCCTCGCCGAGCAACCATGTGCGTCTCCAAGACGGGCTCGGGGTACGTCACCACGCACCGGTGACGAGGCAAGACTGATCCTGAACACGGCAATAGCGCACACATATGGTCGTCAACTCGTGCGCCGTCTCGCCCGACGGCAGCCGCGTCGCTGTGGCTGGTCGCGAGCTGCTGCGCACCTACTCTCTCAGCGGTGCCGCCCAGCAGGGCGTCGACCTGCTGGCGCACACGCGCAAGGCGTCGTCGCACTCTTCGAACGACGTGAGCTGGTTGTCGCAGCGGCCTGCGCAGCTCGTCACCGGCTCCATCTCGGGCGAGGTTCTGCTGTGGGACACGACTCGCCGCGGCTCGCGCCTGGTCCGCACGATGGCGGGCCACGGCCGCGCGGTCAACCGCGTCGTCTGCACCAGCGACGAGCCGCCTCGGCTGCTCTCCGGCTCTCAGGACTGCACCGTCCGCCTGTGGGACCTCAACGTGCGAAATGCGGCACAACTCACGTTTCCGGCAGCG